TAATTTGCGGGGACCTCTCAAGAATTCTACTTGTATTCTGTACACGAAGAAGCGGTAGCATTCATTGGGCTACGATTGGAAGGTGCTCCTCTTTTCAAATATTCACGCTCTAGGTACATTCTCGATGGTTCCAACATACGAAAATTACCAGGAAAAGACTTGCATCCTCTTTCCTCTTCTCAGCCCTGTCCCTAATCCTGCTAGCAAATAAGATATAGACTTCATCTCTACTATAAAATTACGGTTCAAACTTTCCCTGCCCCAGGAGCTCACTTACTCATCCTTTCCGTTCCTCACCGCTCCCTTCCCCCTCCAAATGTACGTTACTTAGTCAATCGGCAAAGGATGTACGTCATTTATTCCTTATATGCACCTATCCTAGCCCCCCTGCCCTGCCTCGAACGAAACCCACCACATACCACCATCCCCTCCCCCCGCTTGCCACATTCAAACTGCCGCCATCCGCCATGGGGCAGCCCTACCTGCAGCAATTACTAAAACTCGGCTCGGCACGGCTCGACTCGTGTCTTACATGATTAGACAAAAATTTTTTGTATGGATGATGGGTAGGGTTGCCCGTTAAGCCCTGTGCTACAAATACGGCGAGGGCTATTGAAACCTAAAATAGCAACGCGCACCAGACTAGCTGGTGCGATCATGTGTTTTGTGCGATTTAGCCCAACGGACGATTGTCTGTTAATGATTTTCACTGCTCTGTACTTTTGTATATGCAAAAATAGCTCAAAAATTGGAAAATAGTTAAAAATTTCACGCACCGGCGTATGAAAGCTGAATTCGAAACCTTGAAGGGTGAATATCTTCCGTGATTCCCTAGTTAATAGTTTACTCGCCAAAATTCTCACGAGGCCGTAGGTGATACTCAACAGCGAGGAAACGCTGAATTTGAATAGGCAAAGTTCAGCGTGGGCAGGGGGTCATTAACGTAAAATTTCAGCTTCCTAGACTCCGTGGTTCCTGAGATATTGATTTACCCGTGAAAAAATTTCACGGGGCCATACGTGTTATCCGCGGGTACGGGAAGGTTGAATTTGAATGGGCAAGATTGGGCGTAGGCAGGGGGTCATTATTCTAAAATTTCAGCCTTCTGGACTCCGTGGTTCCTGAGATATTGACTTACCCGTAGAAAACTTTCACGGGGCCGTACGAGTTACCCGCGGGTACGGGAAGGCTGAATTTAAATTTCGCGTCACCCGTTAGCGGGGAGCACTATACCAAAATTTCAGCCGCCTAGCTTTTGTGGTTTCCGAGTTGAAAGTGCAGGACAAAATGTGGGACACACACACACACACACACACACACACACAAACACACACACACACAGACAACTCCGTGACAATATGTGTTTTGTAACGCTGTTACACAGCACAAAACGCATAAAAAGGGAAATGGAAGGAGTTTTATGGCCTCTCAGGTCGTCCGTATGTGATCTGCTAGGTATACGGCAG